CCTCGGTGCGGACCAGCGGCTCAGTGACTGGCAGCCCAGGCCGGGCCTCAAGGGTATCTCTCCACGAAGTCGAGGGCGGCCAGCCGATGACCCAAGCTCACCCTGGTAGCTGGGGCCTGCTCCTTTGAGTGAGTCCCTGAAGCGCGCCTCCAACAAGAGTCTCTGAAGCCAGTCTCCTACCAGTGAAATGCTTAGTAATGTGAGCCTGGCCTATATATACCACTAGGAGGGTGAATCTCTTTAAGACCTCACTCCCCATAGGTTCCTCTCTGGAGGCGGGACATGTGGGCCAGGGTGGGGATAGGAGGAAGTTCAGAAATCTGGTTGGTGGGATCTCCTCTCATTCCTGCAGGCTGGGAGGGATTAACCTTGGTTAAATGCATAATCGGATTAGCTCCTTGGTAATCATCCCATTGGATTTCTCCACACCCTTTAATCCCATTTTTGCTGAGGAAGAAACTGAAATTAAAAGTAAAATCTGGCCCTGGCTGATTTGTCTCAGTGGATAGAGCACCAGAATGTGGACTAAAGGGTCCCGGGTTCGATTCAGGACAAGGTCACATATCAGGGTTGTGGGCTTAATACTCAGTGGGTGTGCAGAAGGCAGCTGATCAATGTTTCTCTCTCATCGATGATTCTAACTCTCTATCCCTCTCCCTTCCTCGCTGTAAAAAATCAATAAAATATATTTTAAAACACAAAAAGACCTATACTGAAAAGTAATTACAGTGCAACATACTGAGTGCAATAGTAAAAGTGTGTACCATGTGTATGGAAGAGCAATAGATAAATTTTAGCCGGTCTTGCCCTAGCCGGTTTGGCTCAGTGCAGAGAGCATCAGCCTGTGGACTGAAGCGTCCCGGGTTCCATCTGGTCAAGGGCACATGCCTGGGTTGCAGGCTCGATCCCCAGTTCCAGCATGGGGTCGTGCAGGAGGCAGCAGATCAGTGATTCTGGTCATTTATATTTCTTTTTCTTTTTTAATTTCATTTTATTTATATATTTTTTTTTATTTATTTATTTTGCCATGATCTAATCGTTTATTCTGCAAGCACACAGATCAGCGGCGGAAGGCCCTCCCCCGAAAACAGCCCCCGCTCATGATTCAGGGGCATGGCCACTCCCAACAGAGACACCCTCTCACACACACTCACTCCTGGACCCCAGTGTCCCCTGGGGTGCTTCTTGGCCTCCAGGGAGGATCCTCAGCAGCTGGCTTCATCCCTGCCCATCCTCCTAGTGCCCAGGGTGCCCATGGCCACTCTTGGACTTCCTTTTCCCTGAGTGGGGGGGTCGGATGGGGAGGGGGACATTGCTCCAGGGTGGTGGTGGCGGTGGTGCCAGGGGTGCTGGCAGGAGAGGACGTAGAGGGGGCTCCATGGGCTCTGCTGGGCCAGGACTGGGCCGGAACCCCTCAAAGGGTGAGAACTTCAGGGGGCTGCTGGTGAGGCGCCTGGGGGAGCGCAGCTTGCGCTAGAAGGAGAAACCCTCCTTGAGGCTGTCCAGGACGGAGGGCGCCTCGTACGTGAAGCCGAGGAAGGCCTGGTTGGCGCTCTCACTGAGGGCCGTGTCATCCGGACTGTCCACTGGTGCCTGCCGCGTGAAGCGGGTGTCAAACTGGCTCACGTCCTCTTCTGATTGCAGACAGGGCCTGAAAGGGGGGTCCACGCGGCGGGCCAGGAGATCATCCCAATGAATGTGCCGGAAAAAGGGGTGCCTCTGTACGTCGGCAGCGTCCCCTGGGCCACCCCCGATCCTTCGGCGGGGATTCCGCTTCAGAAACTTTTTGACGAGGTCCCGGGCATCCGGGGTGAGGTAAAGGGGCAGCCTCAGCTTCCCTTTGATGATCTTGTCCATGGTTTTCTTCCGATTCTCTGCAGTGAAGGGTGGCGAGCCAGTGAGCATCTCGTACATGAGGACGCCCAGGCTCCACCAGTCCACCGCCCGGTTGTGGCCGCGGCGCACCACAATCTCAGGGGCCATGTACTCAGTGGTGCCACAGAAGGTGTGGGTGACAGCACCCTGGTGAATGGACTCCTTGCCGAGTCCGAAGTCCGTCAGTTTGATGTGGCCCTGGCTGTCCAGCATGATGTTCTTGGGTTTGAGGTCCCGGTAGATGATGCCTTGGGAGTGGAGGTGGCCCAGGGCCAGTGTGATCTCTGCCAGGTAGAAACAGGCCGTGTCTTCCAGCAAGATGCCCTTTCGCTGCAAGTGTGTGAAGAGATCGCCGCCACTGAGGCACTCGAGGACCAGGTAGAGTTTGCCCCTGGTCTGGAAGGCATAGGCCAGCTCCACAATGAAGGGGTGCTTCACCGACCCCAGAATGCGCCGTTCAGCCTGTGTGTGCGCCACGTCCTTGGCGCTGCGCACAAGCTCGTCCTTCCTCAGGACCTTCATGGCATATATTTTGCCCACGTTGGTGCCCTGCACCTTTCGCACCTGGAACACCTTGCCATAGCCCCCCGTGCCCAGCACACGCAGCAGCTCAAAGCAGTGGGGCCCCAGGCGCTCGGGGCCGGGCTTCACACTGGTCTCGGTCAGCTCCACCTCCTCACAGTACCACATGGGCTCCAGGGCAGCCATCCTCAAGTTGGCGAGGGGACACGCGTCCGCAGGCTGAACTCTGGCTCGCCCTCGCTGCTTTCCTCCGTCTCCAGGTCCAGGTCCAATGCGGCCGCCATGGTGGCTTCGGCCCCACAGGACCCTCGGTAGGGACCAGTGGCGCAGTGACTGGCAGCCCGGGCCGGGCCCCAAGGGTATCTCTCCGCGAAGTCGAGGGCGGCCGGCCGATGACCCAAGCTCACCCTGGTAGCTGGGGCCTGCTCCTTTGAGTGAGTCCCTGAAGCGCGCCTCCAAGAAGAGTCTCTGAAGCCAGTCTCCTACCAGTGAAATGCTTAGTAATGTGAGCCTGGCCTATATATACCGCTAGGAGGGTGAATCTCTTTAAGACCTCACTCCCCATAGGTTCCTCCCTGGAGGCGGGACATGTGGGCCAGGGTGGGGATAGGAGGAAGTTCAGAAATCTGGTTGGTGGGATCTCCTCTCATTCCTGCAGGCTGGGAGGGATTAACCTTGGTTAAATGTATAATCTGATTAGCTCCTTGGTGATCATCCCATTGAATTTCTCAACACCCTTTAATCCCATTTTTGCTGAGGAAGAAACTGAAATTAAAAGTAAAATCTGGCCCTGGCTGATTTGTCTCAGTGGATAGAGCACCAGCCTGTGGACTAAATGGTCCGGGGTTCGATTCAGGTCAACGTCACATACCAGTGCTGTGGTCTTAATACTCAGTGGGGGTGTGCAGAAGGCAGCCGGTCAATGATTCTCATCATTGATGTTTCTCTCTCTCTCCCTCTTCCTTCATCTGATATGAATAAAAATACGTTTTAAAATAATAATAGTAAATGTAATGTCTCTACTTCCTTCCCAGTTTGGGCCTGGCATAATGGCTCTAGCAAATAACAGTAGAGAGAAGTAGGGCCTTTGTGCCATCCACGAGGTAATGACCAGAGAACATACCATCAACATCCATAAGCACATCTATGGAGTGGGTTTCAAGAAGCTTGCTGCTCTGTCACTCAAAGAGATCCAGGAACTTGCCCTGAAGGAGATGGGAACTCCAGATGTTTGAATTTGAGAGGGTTAACTTGAAACAAAGTAGGTGGAACCTCATCATTGATGTTTCTATCTCTCTCTCACTGTCCCTTTCTCTCTGAAATCAATACACTGTATATATATTTTTAAAGAAACTTAAGCCAGTCTTGGAGGACAGGGGTCAGAATGGTAGAGATCAAGGAGCTGCAGAGGGAAGCACACCCAGAACTAGAGTAACATAACTGGCTAAAAAATAAAAAATCTCACCCTAACATCCAAAAAGATCTGCTGAATCCTTGTAAAACTGTAAAGTTTATCTTAGCTCCCTTTCACCTCCCTACTTCCTCCTTTTCATGCCCTCCCAGGCACACCGAGCTCCCAACTGAAGGACTTCCCAGGGCCATCAACTCCTAATGGGACCCAGTCAAACTATCTTAGATTTTGAAGGGAATACCTCAGAATCTTTTCCATAAACAAGGAAATGTAAACATATGGGGGTGGGGGGAGGAGAGGATCTTAAGCCCTACACACTCAGCTTCTTTCCTTCTCTTCCTTCCAGGCCGACTCTGAAAGAGCCTCAACGGACACTCTAGGATTCCTGAGAGGAGTCCGAGCCACCAATTTAGTTAACTCTATATTCACTCATTATTTTCCTTGATCCCAGTGATTTACAATAACGTATTCAAAAATAGAAATCTGAGCAGAGTGTTTTGAGAACAGCAAATTTAACGCACAGATCACTATTATCAGCCCAATCTACAGCAGTTCTAAATTAACGAAATTTTTCACTTTGCTCTCCAAGTAAAACCTATTCAATGCAAGATTATCAATTCCTGTAGCAAAAAAAGTAAGCAATAAGCAAATAGGGGGGGAAAGGCAATAAAATGGATTTTCTTTTATTACACCACTAAAAAAAAAAAAAAAACAGGATAAGGATTTATTGCAACCTGAGGAAAAATTGTTTCCTCTGTAACAGATAAAAATTTCTACCAAGTTTTACTGATGAAAAAAGGATAGCTCTATTCACAGTACCCTCCCAACTACTCCCTAAATCACATTTTAAAATCTAAATAAAAGTTTGTTTCTAAATGGTTCCTAAAAAGTAAAAGTGAAACTTTAAGGTTACAGCTTAACTAAGACAGACTGTGCAACCTTTGGAAGCTAGGAGATTTAATTTTTTCTTTTTTGTAAAGCAATTTTTAGCACAGGCTTCCTTCCACACAATTTCCAAATTACTTGTTTGAGAACATTCACCAAATGACTGGTAACTAAGGCTAGATTTCCATGGGAAATTACTGTTTAGGGGGCTAGAACTTCTGCATGAACCATTTTTGGGGGAAATGGTAAAAAGGTAACATCAGTTTGTGTCCAAAGCAGGTAAAAAGAGTAAGAATAAAACCCCTTGTTTTTATTTTTGTCACTTTAATGTAAGACTGAAACTGCTACAGCAATATTTGAGGTTCCACACAGAATTGCATGCTCTGGCTATTAAAGACCTTGGTTAAAGCATTTGAACTTTACTTCTTGAGAAATGAATAAGGAGATTTCAAGAATCTTTATCAGCACACAATCATTCACAACAAACTTCTAGTAGATACTTATTTGTTTCCTACCTTTTCCTAACAAAGGTAATTCTCAACAAAACCCCACCACCATGGAAGGATTCAAAGCTCCTGAGCTCAAAGTGATCAACTCCCACAAGTAACTACAATAGTTCAAATCCCACAAGTTAGGATAGTAGTTCAAAGCTTGATTTAAATGTTTGAAGAAGAGCAAACACCAAATACTGAATACCAAATATATTATTGTTTCTATGAGGTTATGAACCATGAACAAAAACCAGATTGAAATTTTAATTACTCAGTGTCTATTGGTATAAAGCAGTGATCGACAAACTCATTAGTCAACAGAGCCAAATATCAACAGTACTTCTTCAAAATAGACTCGTCCAGGCCGAAAACCAACTTCTGCGCATGGGCCACAAAGTTTCAATCACACTGTACATGCGCCCACACGTGGTATTTTGTGGAAAAGCCACACTCAAGGGGCCAAAGAGCCACATGTGGCTCGTGAGCCGCAGTTTGCCGACCACGGGTATAAAGCCTTCATTTTTTTTTTTTTTTTTTTCTTCCGTGTCCCGGCGCTTGAGGATAGAACCGGCGGACTGACAACCGTCGGCACCGAAGACATGACGCCGAGAAAGCCTTCATTCTTAATGCTTCTCATGGCATCACAGTCTTTAGAAATTAAACAATACATTTTTAGCATTCTACAGTAATCATCACTTTCAAAAACTATAATAAACATCTGCATGTTACACTAACACAATTTTCTACATAAGTATTTTGTCACATTATCAACTTTAGTTTCACTAAATGATAAAATACAAAAAGCTACACAAGACAAAACACCACAGAATGTTTTAATATTCCCTTTCCCAGTTATTGGCTGGTAGCACTTTTTAAGAGAAAGTGATGAAAAATCAGAAATTTTGCGTCCAGTGTTTGACTTCAACTTTTTACTTTCTTATCGTCTTTTGGTACCGCCGTATCCTAAATGAAAAGAGTAAAATTTATATTATTTTTTTTAATGCACTAGAATTGCTTATAAAATTACAACATGATACATTTTATTGTTAGCAAGTGAATAAAAGAGACATGCGAGAAGGAGAGAATGTGAGCCCTGATGGAACAGGGCTATGCACAACAAAGTGCAGCTCCTCCCCAAAACAGCCCTCCCCATCATCCATTCATCATCAAGTCTACTCAAGTTGCTTGCAGCAAATAACTTTTAGTCCAGTAAACCAAAGATGTAGTCTACGTTGGGGCCAATGTGGTTCAGGCAATACTCAAAGTCTAAGCCGAAAAGCAGGAAAACCAATGGAGCCCAAGCTATGTCCTACCACCTCTCACAACTCCAGGGGTAAATAAAAATAATGTGGGGAGAGTTTCGGACTTTCCAATGGCCACACATGCACACGTGCTAAAGGGTTACAAAATGACAGTGTTCCCACCTGAAAAGTCTCTTGATTTTTTTCAGGTTTCCTTTCAGTTATTTGGTAACGTTTTACGATTTTCTTCATATAAATCCCATACATATTAGTTGATATTTATGGTTTTTATAATTTTTGTTTCCACTGAGAATGAGTTTTCTTTTGTCATGTCCTATGTAGTTACATTTTTATATATCCTCCCAATTATAAGGTACTAGTGGCCCGGTGCACAGAATTCATGCACGGGGGAGGGGGTGTTCCTCAGCCCGGTCTGCACCCTCTCCAATCTGGGACCCCCTCAAAGGATGTCCTACTGCCGGTTTACAGGGATCAGACCTAAACCGGCAGTCGGACATCCCTCTTGCAATCAGGGACTGCTGGCTCCTAACCGCTCACCTGCCTGCCTGCCGGTCTGATTGCCCCTAATCACTCTGCCTGCCTGCTGGTCTGATTGCCCCTAATCACTCTGCCTGCCAGCCTGCTCATCCCCAACTGTCCCCCCCCTCCCCGCTGTCCTGATCACCTCCAACTGACCCCCACTGATGGCCTGCTTGCCCCCAACTGGCCCCCTGCTGGTCTGCTTACCCCCAACGGCCTCGCCCCCCACCAGCCTGATCACCCACTACTGCCCTCCCCTCTTGGCCTCTAACCGCCTCTACCTCGGCCCCGCCACCATAGCTTTGTCCAGAAGAACGTCCAGAAGGTCTCCTGGAAGGTCTCCCAGTCTAATTATCATATTACCCTTTTATTAGTATAGATAGAGGCCTGGGGCACGGATGGAGGCCGGCTGGTTTGCCCTGAAGGGTGTCCTGGATCAGGGTGGAGGTTCTCTTGGGGTGTGGGGCAGCCTTGGCGAGGGGCCTGTGGTAGTTTCCAGGCTGGCCACGCCCCCATGGGGTGAGGGTCCCAGCTGGAGGGGCGTGCCCAGCCTGGGTGAGGGGCTGAGGGCTGTTTTCAAGCTGGCCACACTCCCTTCAGGGTGGGGGTCCCTGCTAGGGTGCCTGGCCAGCCTGGGTGAGGGGCTAATGGCTGTTTGCCGGCAGACCAGACCCCCTTCAGGGTGGGGGTCCCCAATGGGGTGACTGGCCTGCCTGGGTGAGGGGCTGATATCTGTTTGCAGGCTGACCACAGCCCCAGGCAACCCAGGCTCCCAGACCCTCCTTGAGCGGAGGCCCCAGCAGCTAGAAGCAGGTATCTGGTATTTATTTATCTTCTATAATTGAAACTTTGTAGCCTTGAGCGGAGCACACAGACAGCCAGGGCAGGCGGGAAGCTTGGCTTCCTCCATCGCCAGGAGCAACCCAAGCCTCCTGTTCACTCCAGCTCCGTGGCTGCCGCCATCTTGATTGGGTTTATTTGCATACTCGCTCCTGATTGGCTGGTGGGCATGGCTTGTGAGTGTAGCAGAGGTATGGTCAATTTGCATTTTCTCTTTTATTAGCTACAGTTAGCATCCAACACCATAGGTTAGTTTTGCTTGTTTTTAAACATGTATATTTATAAATATGAATGTTGTAATCCTATCGTATATATTCTTTTGTGCCTAGTTTCTTTCTATTTGGCAAATGTATCCACATTATTGGATACAACTATGTATTCATTCTCACTGTTGCACAGTTGTCCATAGTATCAATAACTCAATTTATTCGCCCATTTTATTGCTGATGGGTAATCCAGTAAGAGGCTATTATGAATAGGGATGCTATGAATATTCCTGTACTTATCTTTTGGTATACAAGCATATGCATTTCTGTTACTATATATCTGAGAATGAAACTGCTGAGTCTTGGGTTCAATTAGGTAATGCCAAACAGTTTTTCAAAGTGATTGTATTAATTTATATTCACAGCAGCATTAGGAGAATTCCACTGTTACATTTCAAAACCTATTTAAATATATTCTACCAATTTCAAGAATTAATCATTGTTCTATAACTTCCCCCTGCTGAAGAAGACACTCAATACACAGCATCCCATTATTGCCTCATTACTTACCACCTCCCATTCTCTGCTAATTAGCCAAATGTTTACTCCAAATAGTTGTTTTTAAGAATCTTTGCATTTTGCAAAATGTCCTCTTAGTAACTGTAACATTATAATCAAAATCTTGACAATTACTTAAAATACGGTTCAATTTTTACTGAGTTTTACTAAACTTTAAAAGTTCAAATTTCTACCTAGAAAATTCCCTTTTAGAACTTAAAGCAGCGGTTCTCAACCTGTGGGTTGTAACCCCTTTGGCAGTTGAACGACCCTTTCACAGGGGTCGCCTAAGACCATCCTGCATATCAGATATTTACATTATGATTCATAACAGTAGCAACATTACAGTTATGAAGTCGCAACAAAAAAATAATTTTATGGTTGGGTCACAACATGAGAAACTATTTAAAGAGCCAGAAGGTTGAGAACCACTGACTTAAAGGATCCCTAGATATCACAGAATTAAGCAAATATGGACACCAATGTCCAGGAAGGTTTCAGTTAAATCCTTGGTTAGTGGCAGAAATTTAAATCAAATCCTTGTTTGATTTTTAAAGAATGTTTAGAAGTGCAAGAAAAGGATGAATTTGAATTATATTTTAATCTCAGTTAATTGTGCTATTAGTATTTCTGGTGTGCATACCAAATAAAACCATGAGTGCTAAATATATAGTTAATCATCTTCTGAACTTCCATATTTTTGCTCTTACCTGATGCTGTTCTGGTTTTTGTCTGTGAACTTGAACATGCTGAATAGTTACCGGAGTCTCCACAATGCGGGGAGGAAGCACGGCTATTTCCTGTGCCGAAATATGAGGGATAAGATGGGCGGTACCATGAGTCTGAAAAGGGTGTTGTTGTTGCCCTGTAAAGACATAAAAGTGTATCAAGTATTTTTCTTGTGCCTTTAATTTTTAAATACCTTCCTATCCCTACACTATCAGATAAAAATCTTTATTGTGTTTTTTCTTCAATATTCTGGTATATTAGGATTAACATGAATTAAATACTGTTTCATATTTCTGATATTGTTATGGTCATTGCCATGGAAGAAGAAAATGAAAGGGAGAAACAGCTTTCTTTCTGAATTCAAACTTGAATAAAATCTAAACTTAAACTACCAATAATATTGAAGACATTCCAAAATCTGACCCTAAGTTTCTTCCAGCCTTACTTCTATCATTCTCCTACCAAACCAGAATTCTGTTCCCCAAATATTTTTCTTTCCTGCCTATTTTCTCAGATGTCAAGTAAAGTCTTTTTCCTATCTCATGTTATCTAATCAGAATGACATAGGAAGAAGAAATACAATGAAAGAAAATAACACACACAATATTGATCACGGCACATATAGTATACCTTTCCCCATCACCAAAGAACCTGATTTAATAAGGGTAATTCATTATAATTTATTTTCCTTATCAAATCCAGTCAAACTATAAGCAAAACAAAGAACTCTCTAAAGAAATTTTGAATTAAAGACCAAGTGAGATAAATGCAAAGCCTACCTATTGCTACCAAACAAATATCCTAATATTCCTCCAGTTCCCAAGCCAGTCCAGAAACCTGGTCCCGAATTTGCATTTCCTTGTTGTCCTGTGAAAGCACTGCCAAAACCGTAAGTTGCACCAGGCGTTCCTAGAAATAAAAATTATTAATTAAGTATCCTCATTTAAACAAAACATAGCCTATAGAACCAAAGATAATGGGATATTTCAATTATTTCATCTGTACTATTTTTTATTGTTGACACTGTTACAGATGTCCCCATGTCCCACTCCACTCAGCCTCCGCCCTCTCCCCCCAAGCCTTCGCCACATCCTCTGTAGTACTATTTTTTACTAGTACTCAGGCCTCAACTTATAAACAAGTTGAATTCAAAAAGTGTTTTAGTAAAATATGGGTTTATCACTAATGATTTATTTTAGGATGAGGGGTCTTCCTATAAGGTCACATTTGCCCTGCTTAAGATGAGCTATTAGAAAATGACTCCCGCTTATCAGAGTTACTTCCCTTCTGCATCATGAACATTTCTAAAAGCTCCAGGAGACAGCTATGCTTGAGTGTCTAATGGAGGAACCCAAGTGGAGACAGCCAGATATTTGTATCAGTTGGAAAGTCAGGTCTTAAAGGAACCAAAAGTTCTTCTGCTCAGAGGAACTTTTTTTAAACTAATGTGTAATATACATAAAGTATGCAAATCAAACGTGTGAAACTTAATAAATTTATACATATGTACCTGTGTGTGTAACCACTACTCACATCAATAAAACATTTCTACCACACAGAAAGCTTCCACCTCATGACCATTCCCAATAGACACCCACCCACATCAGAGATAAGCCTTTCTCTGACTTCTTTCACCAAACTTTAGTTTTAGCCATACTTGCACTCTTGATAAATGGAATCATATGGTAGGTACTCTTTTGGTCTGGTAAATCACATCTATGAGAGTCAATCCTATTACTGTATATATCAGGTTTTGGGCTTTTAAAAAATAATATGTGGTATTCCATTGAAAGAAAGCACAATTTGTCTCATTCTAATATTAATGGACATCTCATTTCCAGTGTTCGGCTACTGTGCATAAAACTGCTATGAACATTCTTGTGCATGATATTTTGTGTATGTATACATGCATTTCTCTTAGTATGTATCAAGGAATGGAACTACTGGGTCATAGAGTAGGTGTACATTTAGGAGATACTGAGTTTTCCAATGTGTTTTACCATTCTAACTCCTACCAACAAGTTCTAGCTGACTACCCTCAGTTGACTACTTAGCATATAATGTTAGCCATTATGGTGGTTAATAATGAATTCACTATGCTTTTAATCTGCATTCTCCAGATTAATAATGCTAAACACCTTTTCATACTTTTATTGGATATCTGGATATCCGGATATCCTCTTTATTATAAAGCATCTGTTCAAATCCTGTCCATTGTTAAAAGTGAATTGTCTATCTTTTCTTAGATTTGTAGTTCTTTATATATTCTAGATATGCACCTTTTGTTGGATATGTGTCCTATAAATATTTTCCCCAAGTATGTAGCTTGCACTCTTATTTTAAATAGTCTAATTTATCCATCTTTTCTTTCATGGATGGTATTTTTTGTGTTCTAAGATATTTTTGCCTATCCCAAGATCATGACAAATATTTTCCTACAAAAAAATAATATATATATATATATATATATATATATGTATATATTTTTTTCCTACATTTTTATCTAGAAACTTAATTGTTTTACCTTTTATATTGAGATCTATAATACCTGAATAAATTTTTACGTATGGTGTGGGACAAAAGTTCAAGGTAAAAAGCCCTAGCCGGTTTGGCTCAGTGGATAGAGTATCAGCCTGCGGACCGAAGGGTCCCAGGTTCTATTCCCATCAAGGGTGCGTCTCTAGCAGGCTCCTCTCTAGCCCAGGTCCTGGTTAGGGCACGTGCAGGAGGCAACCAATCAATGTGTTTCTCTCACATTGATATTTCTGTCTTTCCACCTCTCTTCCACTCTCTCTAAAAATCAATGGAAAAACACCCTCCGGTGAGGATTAAAAAAAAAAGGTAAATGCTTATTACCAAATCTGATCAAGTTTTTCTGATTAAGATGATTTATAATTTAATCATGCATCCTTAAAATAATAATCACAAATATCCTTATAGAGAAACGGAACAAAAAAGATAAAAGAAGTTGAAAGTAAAAAATAAAATGAAAAGACAAATCTGCTTGGTTTCCCTGTGGCAACCATTTTCTATTTCACAAACTGCACAGGATTCATACCTCACACGAACCCTACTTAGTGCCATTGCCTCAGCAAACATACCTGTGAACCCTGGCTTAAAGCCCGGGGGAGGGGGTCCTGCTGAGTTGGTGAATCCCTGAAAACCGGGAGAATACGGAGGAGACTCAGAATACGGTGGAGGAGAATCTTGACCACCACCAAGGAACAACTTATAAACTCCAAAGGCAATAGCAAGTAGCACCACGATGGTAATCAGTCCACTGATGCCACTGGAATTACTTTTATAATAATCAGAGAACGGGTTAAAGCCATTGTTTTTGCCAGACTCTCTCAATTTCTTCAGGCCAAGTTCCGTGTAATCTAAGTCATACTCCAAGCCACAGGAGCCTCTTAGTACATACTGGTCTTCAGAGGATTCATAGCCTTCACAGCTCACCACAGTTTTTCCAAATTTGTATGCAACATCTAAATCAGTCTTACATTCCCACTGTGAAGAAAAGCAGAAATAAGTTATTAGAACCAAGAGGTTTTTTTTTTCACTTAATATATTATCATTTGGGTTATCTAACTGCCATAAAACTGCAAAATGAAGCAAAAAATGATAAAGTTCAGGACAATAAATATTTCTGCGTTGGGAGGAGGGCAAGCTAGAGGCCTTGAAGATGCTGGTGATGTTAATATTCTACCTCTTAAGTTAGGTGGTGGGTACCTAAGTGTTCATTTTATTATTATTCCTTCATCTTTACATATAGATGTAAGGACTTATTTTGTACATATTAAGTATTCCCTAATTTACAAATTTGAAGCAAATTTTCTAAATTTGAACTTTTTACCACTATTGTTCAAGATGCTTTTAAAATAGGTTTTAAATGATGAGGCTCAAAAATCAGCATCATATATGAAGCTATGGTAGTTACATACAGTATTAGAGATAGTATATAACCTTCTGAGAAAACTTTTGACACAAATTTTTTTAAAACAATTCACTAATGTTCCAGAGTCCCATCCTATAAGTAATTCTCTTACGTTTTTTTAAAAAATATCTCAAAAAATGCAAAAAGAATCCACATTAGTCTCAAAATTTTCCACCTTAAAAAATAGCCCAAGTTTAATTTAAATTCTATAACTTTATTTTGAGCTAAATAAGTAACATGCCTCTTTTTAACAACATTTAAAGAGACACAAGCTAAAATAGATCTGATTGGTTCTATTGCCTATCTGTAAGTTTTTCTGTAAGAGAAAGACAAATGATCTCTCAAACTTCAGGTACACTCTTTAATTTTTTTATAATAGCTTTATTGAGATACTAGAGGCCCAGTGCACGGATTCATGCACATTGAAAGGAAATTAATTAGAAGGTGGCCGGCAGGACTGGGTGAGAGACGGTCCGGATACTCCCTGGAGCCAACCTCCCTCGGTCCCTTCCCAGCCAGCTGCACCTGGGGCGGCGCCAGGGCTCAAAGGGCATCTGCGGAGTGAGCAGGGTCCCTCTGGCAGGTGGGGTCCCTCAGCCTGGCCTGCGGGGATCGGGCTCCCTCCTCTCCAGTTCCAGGGTGCATCACCCGAGAACCGCTGCTGCCAAGTCACCACAGCTCTGTAGCTCCTGCGTTGAGTGTCTGCCCCCTGGTGGTCAGTGCGTGTCATACCTACCAGCCAGTAGGATGGTAGGATGGTCGCTCAGCCTTTTACATATATAGATAATTCATATACCATATATCATCCATTCCAATAGTTTTTTAGTGTATTCACAGAGTTGAATATACTAAAACCATCACCACAATCAATTTTAGAATGTTTTCATTACCACAAAAAGAAATCTCATATCTATTAGCAGTCACTCCCTACTTCCCCTGCTAATCTCCCTGATCTAGGCAATCACCAATCTGTCTCTATGGATTTCCCTATTCTGGACATTTCATATAAATGGAACCATACAACAGGTGGTCTTCAGTGACTGACTTCTTTCACTTAGCATAATGTTTTTCAAGGTTCATGTTGCAGCAAGTATCAGTATTTCATTCCTTTCTATGGCTAAATAATATTCCATTGTATGGATATACCCTATTATGTTTATTCATTCATCAATAATGGACATTTGAGTTGTTTCTATTTTTTGGCTATTATGAATGATGCTGCTAAAAATATTTATATACAAGCTTTTGTGTGGACATGTTTTCAATTCTCGGGTATATTCTTAAGAGTGGAATGATTGGGGCATATGGTAACTATACGTTTAGCCTTTTGAGGAACTGCCAGACAATTCTCCAAATAGGCTGCACCATTTTACATTCCTAACAGAAATGTATGAGAGTTTCTCCACATCTTCACCAACATTTATTATTATCTATTTTTTATATGATAGCCTATTGGGTATGTGATATCTATTGGGTATTAACTGGCATCTTATTGTGTTTCTTTTTAATACATTTTATTGATTTTTTACAGAGAGAAAGGGAGATAGGGAGTTAGAAACATTGATGAGAGAGAAACATTGATCAGCTGCCTCCTGCACACTTCCCACCAGGGATGTGCCTGCAACCAAGGTACATGCCCTTGACCGGAATCAAACCTAGGACCCTTCAGTCCACAGGCTGACGCTCTATCCACTGAGCCAAACCAGTCAGGGCTTATTGTGGTTTTGACTTGTTTTTCCCTGATAGCTAATGATGCTGAACATTTTTTCATGAGCTTGTTGGTCATTTGCATATCTTCTTTGAAGAAATATCTTGTTTCCAGTGATCCCATTGCTAGGAATATATGCTAAAAAACCCAAAATACTAATCGGAAAGAATATATACACCCCTATGTTCATAGCAGCCCTATTTACAGTAGCTAAGATCTGAAAATAGCCCAAGTGCCCTTCAGTAGATGAGTAGATAAAAAAGATGTGGTACATTTATACCATGGAATACTATGCAGCTGTAAAAAAGAAGGATCTCTTACTCTTTGAGATATCACGGGAGGACCTGGAGAGTATTATGCTAAGCGAAATAAGTCAGTCAGAGAAAGACTAGTATCACATGGTCTCACTCATATGTGGAGTCTAAACAAAATAAACTGATGAACAAAATAGATTCAGAGACACAGAAGCATGGAACAGACTGTGGAATCACAGAAGGAAGGCAGGGATGGGTTGGTAGGTGAGTGGGAAGAGATTAAGCAAAGAACTTACATGCATACTAGAGGCCCGGTGCACAAAAATTTGTGCACTTGGGAGGCCAGGGTCCCTCAGGCCAGCCTGTGCCCTCTCACAGTCTGGGACCCCTTGGGGGAAGTCCACCTGCTGGCTTAGGCCCGCTCCCCAGGAAATCAGGCCTAAGCTGACAGTCAGACTTCCCTCTGGCAGCCCGGAAGCCCTCAAGGGATGTCCAACTAACAACTCAGAACCGCCCCCTGCGCACCTAAGCCATTAGCTGGACATCCTTAGCACCACGGAGGTGGGAGAGGCTCTCACCACCACCGCTGAAGTGGCCAGCCATGAGCTGGCTTCTGGCTGAGTGGCAGCTCCTGCATTGAGCACCTGCCCCATGGTGGTCAGTGTGCATCATAGTGACCAGTCATTCTGGGTCAATTTGCATATTACCTTTTATTATATAGGATTATTATATAGGACATGCATAATCCATGGACACAGACAGTAGTGTGGTGAAGGCCTGGGGCAGGGGGTGGGCTAGAAAGGGTCAATGGGGGGAAAGGGGGACTTTCAAGAATAAAGATAAAAAATTTTTTTAATGTCTAGTCAGATGTTTTGCCCACTTTTAAATTTGGTTGTCTTCTTTATTGAGTTGTAATAATTCTTTCTATATTCTAGATATAAGTCCCCTATCAGATATATTTGCAAAAGCTTTCTCCCATTGTGTAGGTTGTCTTTTCACTTTCTTAATGGTCTCCTTTGAAGACCAAAAGTTTTTAATTTGAATAATACAATTTTTCTATTTTGTTGTCTTTATTGTTGCTTCATTATTTTTTAAATAATTTTATTTGAAGGAAGATTTATAAACTTGCTAATTTAGGTAAATAAGACAAGCAAAATCTCTATTGGTATTTCATGTTAATTGTCACTTTCTTAATAGTGTATATTAAAAATAGCTCTAATTATATTTACATTTTTGGAACTGAAAAAGGCTCTCTCCTGCTGCTATACTTATGTTAATGTAAGATATCCCCTACACTGCACTTCTTTGCTCATGCTATTCCCTTCTCTATCTCTTTAGCTCTAAAAAATCTTACCCTTCCTTCCTAATGCAGCACATACCTTCTTTAAGTCTTCCCCAATCCCTTCAATGTTATAAATGACATGACTTTGTAACACTTTGTTGGCATCTACATGTAATTTGAGTGCTTGTCTTATCTCTTCTACTAGGAAGAGAGTGTCTTGAGGCTTATGGCACCATCTTATTTATAAGATGGAAAAGTCATTCATTAAACATAATTTTTTCTAATCAATTTCATATATGTTTAATGAATGACTTCTCCATTAGTATCTTTTTATCCAATTGACTGTAAATGCAAAATGAAAGTGGGACTCTGCTCTAACCTGACAATTCTGTGATTCAGTTAGCAATAATAGGAAAAAATGTTGTGAAATAAGTATTACCTAGTAAATATGAACTCCCTCTGAACTGCACAGACCACTAGGTTTTTTTGGGGGTTTTGTTCTTGTGGGTTTTTTCTCCCCCAATATATTTTCATTGATTTCAGAAAGGAAGGGAGAGGGAGAAAGAGACAGAAACATCAATGATGAGCGAATCACTGATCAGCCACCTCCCTCATGCCCCACATTGGGGATCAAGCCCGCAACCAAGGCAACATGCCCTGACTGAGAATTGAACTGCGACCCCCTGGTTCACAGACCATGCATAATTATCATGCTGATGGAAGTGGCAATTGTCAACACAAGTTTCTTGCAAATAACCAACTATCTTAAATTCTTTTGAAAGCAGGCAGAATACAAAGTAGAAATATATTAGTATTGATTTAAACTGAATTCATTCAATAAATTTCTAAAGAATAAATTTTGGAACTTCAAAAAGATGGCCCAACCTAAGTACAAAATGCCAGTCCCAAAGACAACAAATGAAGCCCATGGAAATGCTTTTGTGCAGGAGCAGCCACCCTCAGTTCTAAAACAACTTTAGAATCAAGTGTGTGAAGCACAAAAGGGACACATATACCCCATTTACAACCTACAATTCCTTATCATCTTAACTTTACTTCTTAAGGGCAGGTTGGTATTCCTGAGGAAATGACATAAAAATGACACCCAGGAGAAATCCTCTACTCCCCCCAAGTATGTGAAAGAAAATTTACTAACGTCTTGAATATTTCCAGGCTTTAAAATCAGTTTATTTCTTTTGGAGCATTTTTCTTCCAGAGAATAAATGACTGATTTATGTCTATATATTTTAGGTTAAACTGAGATTTTCTATATATGCTTCTCCAAAATACTGAATAATGTCCCGATAAACACTTTATTAAATAAAAATCCCATTTAGACAGACATCAATGTAATGAATATTACCTGTACATCGTAACCATCCCAGCCTTTGTTCTGGCACTGTATAACTTTTGGAGTATAAGTATCACATCCAGCTGTGCCTCCAATACATCTCAGCTGTGGAATCGGATTCAACCTACGGGAGGTGGTATAGCGATCATAGTGGAGGGTAAGAGCTTGTATATCCCGCAACAATATTCTGTCTGAAATCGTAAGAACACAGATAACCATATAGTAAATACCTTGCAAAACTTAGACAGTTAATTAAATAAAACTCTTGTCATATTAAATACTCTGAAAAGTAAGGGTCTTTCTCGCTGTTTGAGGATGACTAAGAAAGAGAAGAGGAAACACTCTCCCAAAGCCATACCAATAGCGTTCAGGCTTCTTGCACAAAATTCAGGTGGTCACACCTTTAAACTGCTTATATGCTGAAATATACTATGGTACAACAACATCAACGGATAATTAAAATAGCAAAAAATATACATCAATGTTCCTGAAGCACAATTAAAGACTTAAATGCTAACAGGTGAATGGCTTAATAAAATTTTGCCTTATTCATACCATGGAAATATTCTACAGTAGTTAAAATGAGTGAACTGGAACTCATGAATCAGACTAGAAATAGTAACAACATTTATGCAAAATGCAAGTTGCAGAATGTTTAGTATGACAGAATTACATAAACCTTGAAAACAAGCAAAACAGTACTACATACTGTTAATGTTTACATAATAATGTATATAATGTACATACTATGACAGTATGGGAACACAAACAAGAATAATTAAACTCCAAATTCAGATGAGTATCTCTGAGGAGAGACGGAGAGAAGAGGCTTTAACTAGCTCTCTATCCCTAATGTTTTATTACTTTGGGGGTGGGAGATTTGCTGCCAAAATGATAAAATGTGAAGATTCAATAAAAATGGGTGGTGGGTATATATGGGTGTTCATTGTGTACATGTTTAAATATTTAAAATATTTCACAACTTTAAAAGTCAAAACATTTAAACTGTTTTACAAATTAAAAATCACATTGACTGCCGAAACCGGTTTGGCTCAGTGGATAGAGCGTCGGCCTGCGGACTGAGGGGTCCCGGGTTCGATTCCGGTCAAGGGCATGTACCTGGGTTGTGGGCACATCCCCAGTGGGAGATGTGCAGGAGGCAGCTGATCGATGTTTCTCTCTCATCGATGTTTCTAGCTCTCTATCTCTCTCCCTTCCTCTCTGTAAAAAATCAATAAAATATATTTAAAAAAAAAAAAGAATAACGCAAGCTACAATTTAAAAAAAAAAAAAAAAAAATCACATTGACAAAGAAGCTTAAACCCTAGAGTGCCAGGGAGCGCGATCGCGCGCACTCCTCCTGTCTTTCGCCAAAAGTGCCGGGAGCGCTATCGCAATTTTTTTTCTACTAGTATTTTATAATACAATCCGCAAACAATATATGTCAAAGATGAAAACAAATGTAGTAAAGGTTTCCTTAAGTTTTTGAATATGTAACTTCATTTACTTGCGATTCATAATTTTTTTCCTAAACTGCTGTAAAATCAGCAAAAATGCCTTGGCAATTTTAGCATAGTTCCTAGGATATTGGTTGGCACTCAAAGGGTTAAGAATAAAAAATCAAGACGAGGAAATTATGTCTGGTATTCATGTACATAAATGAATTTTAAAGTGTTATTGGAAAATAGTCTTCCTACTTATCACCCTTGGATTATGATGGAAGATGACTGTGGACTGGTTCATTCAATATCCATTTTACCCTCAAACTGACAGCCTCCTTGCAAAATTAAGAGGATTCCAAACACTCTTGCAGCTGTTATTTCCAAAACAGAAACTCCAGGCAGGTGTGGCAAGCAGACTGTGCTGTGTGGGTCCTTCGGCGAGCAAGCAGTTGTGGGGGCTCTGGGTTTCCTGACAGCGCTCCAGTACCCCATAATTAACTCCGTGGATGTCAAGAGGCTTCATGTGAGCAACCCACTTTTCATTGCTGTATGTGGCAGGCATCACTCTCTACCATTTTGTTAGCACCTAATTTCCTATATTCAACATGTCAAATTATCAGAATTTTCTACCACCCAAATTCCACTAAAACTATAATAAATTGATTGTTTTGATGATGTGAACGAATGACGTCATGTAAAACAGAAAAGGAGATGGCAAAGGAATTTGGAAAGGTGCAAGCCTACAGGAGGTATAATGGTAGGTGAGTAGACGGACATAAAAGCCAAATGCCAGACCAGGAAGGCAGAAAACTGAAAACCAATCTGGTATAAATAATAGAAGCCCTAAAAATAAAAATAATAATAAAACAGGAATTGGCAGGTCAAAGCTTCCTGAAAAGAAGCTACATCCCAGAACCTCTCCCCAACTCTGTGCTGCTGCCACTGCCCCTTCTCCACCCAGGAAAATGTCTGGAGAGGGTAAAACCCTAGAGCTCTGTACTAGGGGATGTTGGGCACAATAGAGGGCATAGGTACAAAAACATAAAAGGGATTCCAGTAACTGCATGACTCTGAAAGCTGAAAGCATGAACCTCTCCCCACCTGGTTCACAAAACACTAGCAACCATTCCCTGGCCCTCTGAGTGAGTGACTGAAAGTCTATTCCCTTTGTAACCTAACCAAAAAAGAAATATTTAAATATACTAACATCAGGAGTTCCCAAACGAAGAACTACCCAAGCATCCCTATAGTCACCAGGTCACCCCACAGTAAAGTTCAAAGTTCAAAAGCAGTAATCATACACTAATAGCTTCCAATCAGCTTTTTGGTTTGCACCCTTGATTTAGAGCAGACAGCCAAGAATTACTAAAAATTATGAGGAAAGCCCCTAACATGGAATACAACCACCACAAAAACACTTTGGAGTTAAGAGAGACTATACTGAGAGAAGAAAACTTTTTAAAAAATTTTTAAAGCTATGATATCCTCAAAGTTACTATAAAAGAACACTCAGAGAACAAAACAAGAGCTCTTGGAAATTCAAATCAGGGCAGCTGAGATGAAAAACTCAATAGAACTATTAAAAGTTAAAGATAAGAAAATTTCCTAGAAAACAGAGCAAAAAGATGGAAAGTAGGAGGGGGGTAGAAAATCTGCTGCTTAAGTTAAAAAACATAGGCATTTCCTATCACCAAATCACAAATGCAATATTGGTACACTTCCCACCAGGCCTTAACATCTTTACTCCGTAGAGCAAAAATGGAATTTTAAACGTTTAAACGTCATACTTTAATTCCAATTTAACAGCGCACATCATTTATTAAGTGGAAATCTGTATGTATGTGATATACATACACACGTACATATATTAATAACAAGTAATATTATTGGTCCCACAAAAATTCGTTAGAGAAGTCTAATAACATAGTAATATAAAAGAACCTTTTCCCTAAAAATCACATCATGTTCCATCACACACACAAAAATTATAAGATGAAAATACTTCTTCAATTCCAGAATATGGTGAAAAACAGAAGAGCTAGCGTCACGCCATGTGCTTCACTGTAATGGTCACAACAAGAAGCACGAGTTAAGCTCAAATATATGATCTGCTAACCTACCTACAGGCTTGCTGCCCTGTCCCTTAAGTGTGACTCCGACGCTGACGGTGTCAAGGAAACTGCCAGCCCTAGCAACAGGCAGCCATGACAACAGCCAGCGACATCCGGTAGTCATGACAACAAAGCCAGAAGCGCAGGTGAGCCTCGAGCTTTCCCCGCCAGACACCCGGATGTGGGCCGTTGCCCGAGAAGTGACGCTGGACAATTTCTAGGAGTCCAGGGAAGGAAGGAAGGGGACGTTAAGAATACAGAGTCGTTCCGTCCCACCAACTCCCCAACAGTCCCCGCTCTCCCGGCGGAGGTCTGGGAAGAGAAAAGGCACCGATGAATAGTGAAAGGGATGAAAATGAGGAACTACGGCAGAAAAGCTCAAGGGAACGAAAATGGTCGCCCGCGGGGCCTCCCAGAGCAGGCTCCAGATGGCAGGCAGCAAGGGGCGATGAAGACAGTACTCACTAGGGTCGTTCCAGCCCAGGGCAGGGCCTGCGATCAGAAGCAAAAGGAGGCCGAGAAGAGGGCTGCGTCTGTCCGCTCCGGGCCCACCGGCCGCGGCCATGGCGCTGGGCGAAGGTGGTGCGCGGCTACCAGGCACTCGCGGACCGGAACCGAGACTGTGGAAATCCGCGCGCAGATGCTCAGTGACGCCGGGAACTCCAGCCGCGGAGAAGGGAAGGTGTCTGCCCCAGAGCCCCAGCCGCTGCGAAGGTCCGCGCCTGCCACACGTCACTGCCGCTGCTGCGCGCGTGGGAGCCTGGGTGAACGCTGCTGGCCCCGCCCCTTAGTGTGACAGGGGCAGGGCCCGTCGTTGGGGGCGGAGCCAAACGGGTGATGCAACGCTGTGGGTGGGGCCAAGGAGCTCGCTTAGGTGCAGTGGTCGGAGTGAAACCTTCGCAATGCAAAATCCAAGTGTGCAGTCGAGTTATGTATTTCCAAAATCTCAATAACCGTCCCCAGGGAAGTTATTGTGCCTTATTCAACTTTAGGTCTTCAGCATCTAGCATAGCTCCTGGCTCATGATTCGTATTCTATTACTGTTTGCTACAGAGAGAATTCGAGCGAAAGGTAGCATGGAACTATAGTCCGCTTTCAGCGGTTCAGAGCCTTTATATATTCGGTTGTGCGTGGTGGCAGTAAGAATTCACAAACTATCAGGAAGAGAAACTATTACCTAACTAAAGAACAGGACAGAGAAAACAGTTCTAAGAGTACAGAGGCAACATCTTTGAGGTCTGACAGGCCTAGGTTTCTCTCATTCATTCAACATATATAGAGTGAATGCCTACTATGTGTCAGCTACTGTTTTAGGCATGGAGGATACAGCCAAGGTCCCTGTACTCATGGATCTTATATTAACGTGGCATAGGGACACAAAACTAGGCAATCCTATATAATAAAAGGCTAATATGCAAATCAACCAAATGGTGGAGCAACTGGTTGCTAAGCCGTGCACTGACCACCAGGGGGCAGACACTCAATGCAGGAGCTGCCCCCTGGTGGTCAGCGTGCTCCAACAGGGGGAACACAGCTCAGCCAAAAGCCAGGCTCACAGCTGGTGAGCACAGCTGCAGTGGCAGGCTGAGGGACCCCCCTCAAGTGCACAAATGTTATATTAAAGAATACAATTATATTAAAGAATCTAGAATAATTATATTAAAGAATCATTTTTCAAGTGGGCTATATGTACTTTGACTATGTTATTTTTAAGAATCCTTTTAGAAATACTGAATTATTAAAAATTAAAAATTATATCTGGAATTTCCTTCAAAATAATATGGGCGAAATAATATCGTAGATGAGAAGTTGATGGGGAATATAGATAAAACAACATTAACAACGTGTTAACTATTTAGGGTAGCTAATGGAACATGGAAATTCATTGTACTATTTAGACTACCTTTTATATATTTAAAATTTTTCCATAATAAAGAGGGTTTTTTTAAACTAAAAAAAAAAATACTACAACTAAACTCTTCTCTGGGGTTTCTCTGACTTGATCTGTAAGAGTAATTCCATCCAGCTGGTATGGCTTAGTGGCTGAGCATTGTCCTGTGTACCAAGAGGTTGCTGGTTCAATCCCTGGTCAGGGCACATGCCCAGGTTGCAAGCTCAATCCCTTGGTGGGGGCTATGCAGAAGTCAGCCAATCAATATTTCTCTGTCATCAATGTTTCTATCTCTCTCTCCCTCTCCCTTCCTCTCTCTCTAAAAATCAATACAAATATATTTAACTTAAAAAAGAGTAAGTTCCAAATTAACAAAATTGTAGGATTAAATCAGATTTAAAACAACAGGCATATAGCAGCTGCTCAATAAACAATAGCTCTCTCTCTCACCCTCATCCCCATCTTTGTGAATTAACTTTGGAGGACAACAAGCCATCTGAAAGAAAAGTTTTGCAACTATGAAAGATTATTATATAATATGTAGAGAACATTTAAAGGATATAACATTACTGTTTAAGATTCACTTGGCAAAAAAAAAAGATTCACTTGGCAAACTGATGAAGAAAACTCCTGACATTCTGCCCTTTCAGACAATTATTTTCAAGCTTTAGTTTGCATAGGAAATCTTTGGGGTGCTTGTTAAAATTTCAGATTCTAGGCTCTGTTCACAAAAGTTCTGATTCAGAATGTCTGGAGCGGGACCCAGAAGTTTGCATGTTTAGGAAACATCCCAAAGAATTCTGTTATAGGTGGTCTTTGAAATACAACATTTGAACATACTGTTTTTAAAGTCTCAAGTAACTCTAGACAACATCTGTAGACCAAAAATAGTCCTTAGGGTCTCTGTGGATCTCATGCAAAAGTCAAAGGAACACAAATTCTTAGGATTCAGTAACTATGGAAGCAAAAGAGCCCTCTAACCCAGCGGTTCTCAACCTGTGGGTCGAGACCCCTTTGGGAGTCGAACGACCCTTTCACAGGGGTCGCCTAAGACCATCAGAAAACACATATATAACGCATATAAAACGCATATTGTTTTTGTGATTAATCACTATGCTTTAATTGTTCAATTTGTAACTAAAAATAAATCCTGCATATCAGATATTTACATTACAATTCATAACAGTAGCAAAATTACAGTTATGAAGTAGCAACGAAAATAATTTTATGGTTGGGGGTCACCACAACATGAGGAACTGTATTGAAGGGTCACTGCATTAGGAAGGTTGAGAACCACTGCCTAACCTAAAGAACAATCCCAGTTGCCCATAAAGGTCATCAAGGATAAATGTCTGTAATGCCCAACCCATTATATTCACAAGAGGAAACTGGGAAACTAGCATTTAACTCGGCCACCAGGGCTTTTGGAAGCTCCAAAAGGCTTCCTAAAATGTGACCTTTCTCCATGAGCCAAGCCATGAGCCTATGAGATGAGAACCTATCACTTCCCAATACCCCACCACTGATCAGCTGTCTCTCTGCTATGTTCTCTCAACCTTCCCTGCTTTCAAGGACGGAATACTGTGGAACAAAACAAAAGGTGTTAGTGGTTGAGTATTTAGGATGGAGTCATTTACTTCTCTAGGAATTCTACCTACCCCTTTCAAGATGGTTGGTGAGCATATGTCGGCTTCAGTTTAGAAAACAAAGCTAGTGGTTCACAAATTGTCTAAACAGTACCATTTCCACAACGTATGTTCAAGTGTGCCTTGTGGTTTTGCTACCACCACCCTTAAATGGAAACTCTTTTTTCATGGTGCAGAAGATGACAGAACTTTTTGTGCTAACTTGAACAGAAAAAAAATTCTCCTCCACGGGACACCTTTAGGTTTATTTGGGGCATTGAGCCTCAAGAAGAGACCTGTTTTAAATTTTTTATTTTGAAAGTATTCAACCCGGAAAGTAGTGGAGGGAAGCAGGGTACTTTAGTCCCCAGTAGCTCTCATTTTAAAGCATGTTGGAAACACCTCTTCTAACCGTACACTCAACAAGGTCTTATATGCCACTTTATCTTGGTCTGATTGTTACAGAAAAAATGATGCTTACAGAAGACCGGAGAAAAACCAAGCAACGCCCAGAGAAATGGAGATACACTGTTTATTACACCAGCGGGCCCAGAGGGAGATGTTTCCCAAATTTCAGAACAAAAACATGGAGGAAGCTTTCCCTATTTGTATCTTTCCCCCCTCCCCTTTGTCTCCCAAATAAGGGTTTTTCCGGACCTTACGTTAGATAACTAGCCTACAAGGTCAGACAGCCAAGTTTATCTTCCCTATTGTTCAAGCAGCTAGAAAGCAAAGTTAATTTACCCAGTAAGGGGCCGCCTAAAAATAACAGAGTTGACTCACAGAATACGGGATCATGTAATAGCAGAGAATTTTAAACAGTAGTTTTACAAAAATAGGGGTTAGCCTTCTCATGATGACTGAAAAGATTTAAATTCAAATCTTGCTAGGTCACCCACCTCCACTTGTAGCTTTTTAAAAACCTTCAAAAAGATTCTCACTGCTTTGAGGGGGCGGAGCCTCCTTCTCCAGGACCTTGCTGTAAACCAGTGGTTCTCAGCCGTGGCTGCACATTAGAATCACCTGGGAATCTTTTTAAAATCCTGATTTCTGGGCCTCATCCTCCGAAGATTCTGCTTCTTTGTTATGGGGTGAGGCCACAACATTAGTAACAAAGAAACAGAATTTCCGGAGAGGCCCAGAAATCAGGATTTTAAAAAGATTCCCAGGTGATTCTAATGTGCAGCCAAGGTTGAGAACCACTAAACCATACTGCCCACCCCAACTCCCGGCAACCCCACTGATCTTCTTTCTCTCTTCTCCAGCGGACCAAGCTCCAAGCTCCCAGTTTGCTGGCCACGCTCGTCACCTCCACCAACACAACCCCCTCGGAATGAATGCTTTTCCCTCTTCCCTAGTTACACACCTGTTCCTTCCTCCATTGTCCCTTCCTCTGGGAAATCTACTGACTGATCTAAATCGAAAGGCTTTCCTAGGACAATTGACCCATCTTCCTGGCACGTATCATTGTCGAAATTTCACGCTTTTTTGTGTCTGTCTCTCCCACAAAACTTTAAGCTCCTGGAGGGCAGAAACCGTGCCTAGTTTTGCTGACCTCAACCCCTAGCCCTGCTCCCAACACAGTAAATGGTCAATACGTTTCTACGATGACTTAAATAAATGTATTTGTACCTCTGCCGCTTTCTCTTTTCTAGCCCTGTTAGTCCAAACAAACAAACAAAAAACAACACAGCGATTCTCACAGACTCCCAAGAGGTCGAGTTGGTACTAAATCCGCCCTTCACCGCGTCCCGCTGCTCATGTCTCAGGAGATGGGTCCCGCAGAACCCTGGTTCGGTGTCGGAACCCAAGGAGCCGAGTGCAAACCAGCCTGACTGCTCCCTTATTACAGGCTGGGAGGAGACATGGGTGCGCTTGGAAGATCGCAAATTCTCTCCCAGGGACATCACACCATGCCTCCCACGCGTCGAGGCTCCCTCCTCCTCCTCCTCCAAGAAGGAACATTGCGGGGTTCCCGCGAGGAGCCTCGGCACGGGGCTTCCGCCACCCGAGGAGCACCGCGCCCGCCCCGGAAACGGGCTGCGGGGAGAGCCTCCGGGGGCGGCGATCTGCCGAGGACCGAGCCGGGAAGGAAGGGGTCGGCCCGCTAGTCCCCGGCCCGCGCGCCCCCCGCGCCCCCCGCGTCCCCCGCGCGAGTGCGAGCGGCCGGCGAAAGTACTGCGTC